CCATACTGTGAGCATTGAATAAAGGACACAAAACTAGAGTCTATTACTAAGCATATGTTAACAACTGTTCCAAAATCACTAATTATGCAGAGTCAGGATGGCTTTATGAAAGGAAATTAGTTTTTGACAAACCTGTTGAAATTTTTGAGGTTATAACTAATGGAATGCTACATAGATCAGTGCTTTGGCTATATGTATTTCAATCACTTAGAAGAGGGGATCATGTGTAACATTAATAAAGTGACCTAGTGTGAAAGTAAGCTGTGAAGAAAACACAAAGGTTGTATTGGAGTGACAAACTACTAAGTGTTGGTATTCAGAGAGATTTGAGTGTCTGTACACCAATCAGAAAGTTTTAAAATGCAAGTACAGCGAGCAAGTAATAAATTAAACGTATCCGATATGCCAACCCCTTTGTAATAAAGGCTTAGAGTAAGAAATTTAGTACAATTATGGTGGGGATTGGAAATATCAGAACTGCAATGTTATTTTAGTGTCCTTACTTTTCAAAGGGTATACTTATCATAAAGGTGTGCAAATTATTTTCACTAAATTGGTTTCTGGGATTAGAATGATGTACTGTGGGGACAGATCAAGTTGAATGGGCCTACGTTCTGTGGAGCGCAGAAGAATAAAAGGGGTTCTCACTGAAGGCAAATAGCCTTTTTTTGAGGCCAGATGGGTAGATTACCCCTGGCCAGAGTCTAGAATAAGAGGATCATAGTTTCAGGACAAGGGGTCAGTAATCAATAAGGCAGCTAGTTCTTTCTTCATTTGCAGTCATATCACTTCTCTCCACCTGCATTTCTCTAGAACCACAATGCCATATTTATCACAATTTAATCACTAGAAGATAGTTTACATTACTTCTCATGTATTTTACCAACATTTTATTTATATGGTGTATTAACATAGTAAAACATTCCAAGAACTTTTATATAGGAACATATTGCAAACACAAACAAAAGTTTGCACCACCTAAGGCAAAATTAGGACAGATGGGTACAAACCTGGTCAAAGAAGTTGGTTTTATGGAGCCTCTTAAAGAAGGAATGAGAGATGTAAGGAGAGAATTCCAAAGTTTTGAGCTTAACCTCCAATCGTATAGTGATAAAATTTGAGATAGTGTCAGGATGCATGAACGAGGGACCACAGATATCTCATGGGGAGTGTAGGGCTGGAAATGTTTAGAGATGGAGTGTCGGATGGGAAGGTGCACTATCAAATCATTTGGAAACTAGGGTGAAAACTTTAAAATCAAGGTGTTGCTTAACTGAGAGACAATATATGTCAGTGAGCAAAGAGGTGAAGGGTTGAAAGGACATGATGAGTTAAGACATGCGCAGCAGAACTTTAGCCCCCTAAGTTGAACAAGGCTACACTGTGAAGGCGTACCAGGTGGGTAATAGAATACTCACATCTTACAGATATAAAGGTTCATTAGAGAAAGTTTTTGAGTAGATTTGTAGCTCGGGTTGTGGATGCTGTGGTCAGTTGACTGGCCAAGCTGGTTCATTGTTCCGCAGACGTTTCATTACCCTGCTGGGTAACATAATCAGTGCAGCCTCCGATGAAGTGCCATTGTGTTTTCCCACCTGCTATTTAAACTCCGGTGTCCGTTGAGTTGGATTACCTCACTTCTGGTTTTCCTTTGCAGTGGGGTATATATATAGGGTCCAGCTCTATGTGTTTGTTGATGGCCTTCTTAGTGGAAAACCAGGCCTCCAGGAATTCCCGTGCTTGTCTCTGTTCGATTTGGGACAACACCAGGATCCTAGAACAGGCCAAAGAGAGACAAGCACGGGAATTCCTGGAGGCCTGGTTCTCCACTAAGAAAGCCATCAACAAACACATAAAGCTAGACATTATATATACTTGACTGCAAAGGAAAACCGGAAGTGAGGTAATCCAACTCAACTGACACCAGTGTTTAAATAACAGATGGGAAAATACAGCAGTGCTTCATGGGAGGCTGCACTGATGATGTTACCCAGCAGAGTAATGAAATGTCTGTGGAACAAGAATTTCTGCTGTAGAGTAATAACAATGGTCAGGTGAAGACCAGTTGTAGTAGTCTGGTAGTGAACAGCATGTCATTTTATCACCATTATTACTTCCTTTTGTACAATAGAGGGTCCTTTTTGTAACTGTAATTCACATTTGTGCACAGCATCCAATCGTGGACATGTACTTAAAATAATTCTGATATTAGCACAATTTACAAACTCTAAATACAGAGTACACTCTAAAGAAAAGCTTCAAAAATAATTTGGGAGTTTGAAAAATTCACTCACAGGGTATGTGCATATCACTGTTTAGCCAATCCTTAATTTCCCCAAGAGAAGATGGTGGTCAGCTGCATTCTTAAAACCACCACAGCAGTGCTGTTAGGGACAATGTTCCAGGATTCCGACCCACTGACAGTGAAGGAACAGAAATGCAGTTTTGCTGCAGAATACTGAGTGGCTTGGAGAACTTGCCGCTGATGCTGTGGAATTGCTGCCACCGGCATCGTTGATGGATGTGGCACAGATGAAGCAGGCTGCTTTGACTTGAACGGTGTCAAGCTTCTTGGCTGTTGGGCTGCAATCATCCAGGCAAGTAGAGAGTATTCCATTAGACTCCTCACTTATGCCATGTAGATGGTCGAGTCAGGAATTGAGTTACTCACCACAGAATCCCCAGTCTCCAAACCGTTCTTGTAGCTTTCTGGCTAACGTAGTTCAAATTTTGGTCAATGGTAATTCCCATGATGTTGCGAGTAGGGGATTTAGCAACGGTAATGCCATTGAACACCAAAAGGAGATGCTTAGCTTCTCTCTTGCTGAAGGTGGTCATTGACTGACACTTGTGTGGCATGAACACTACAACCACTTCCTCAAGGTCTCTCAAAATACTTGAACTGTTTCTTTTCAAATGTTCGCTGGCAGGGTTAGTCATTTTATACACAGCACTGTCCCACAACAGCAATTAGGCAAATAACAAACACATGCAAAACAATCAGTTAAGAGATAAATGGTGGTCATGACTGCAGGTGCTCACTCTTTATATAATGCCTCGGGGACAGTCAATGCCACACCTCTGATAAGATAGCACACTTTCAGTAGTGGATAGAAAAATCAACTTAGAATGTGTCTCACATTCTGGAGCGGCCATGACCCTTCTGACTCGCTCATTGTTTAGATCGCTGTTACTGAGCCAGCGGACTTAAATGGACAGGATAAAGCACTACGAAACTATCTAATATTTGCAAGTATGATTTACAAATAACTTTATTCATAATTTTCTGCCTATCAATTTAAGGAATCTTTTGTGTGGAAGATGTACCAGGAACGCTGCTGGGACTTTTTCCCCGCTGGAGACTGTTTCCGCAAACAGTATGAGGATCAGCTTGGATAAATGGAAACATTTCTTGAATTTACTTACTGACCATCACATAAAGATTTACTTGAATATATGAATGGAAAATGAAGTAAGCAGGTACTTATTGTTGAGGCAAAATGAGAATAAATGTGAAAGGTATTAAAAATACAACTGTCTTAAAATGCAGTGATATTCATCATTAAGCACTGAAAGTGCAACACTTATCAGAATTGGAAGTGATATAACCAGACTTTAAATAAACCTTTGCTGTGACTTTGGTTAACTGAATAGACAGACCAACAAGTATAACAAGGGTTAAAACTGCAAAAAAGTACTAGAAAAAAAGTGCCTTACCTATAGCCAAAGCTATGCAACAATGTGAATGTTCTGTTTTTTTAGTTTATGCTCATCAGAAAAGCTACCTTAGAATTTATTCTCCTGTTCACAATGTCAAGTCTTATTGTGTGCTGTATGACCTTAAGCTTGTTCTCATTCTGCTTACAAAGTTGTTACTGGATAAGACATTTAATTTTGTGAAATTCTGTAACACTTAATATTATATGTGCGTTGGCTGTCTGCTTGTTTGTACACTTTTCCTTAAAACTTCAATTTCAAATCATTTGGCACTAGTGAATTGGTCAGTGCTGACTGTTTGCGATGTGATGCACAGTTGTGAAATAAAGCAAGTTAAATTCAATAATATATCTTTTTACAGGATTACCTCTTTTTATCCTAAATCTGATTACCAATAGCACTTCTGCTATCATTGGTTGGGATGAAAATGTTTGGCCATGAGTGTAGACTCAAGGTTGTTGAAAATGGATCATATAAAAAAGAGTCATTTGATTAATGTGTGAATTAACTCTTTACGCAGAAAAAAGGCCACTTTATTCATGGTTTTCAACAGTTTTCGTTACGCCTTGACTCTGCAATCTTTTTACATGTAATTAGTTAGAACTCTGTCACTAAATCTAAGCTATTCAACAGAATTTCACTGGGTGTAAACATTTACACCAACATTTCACACATTTTTTAAAATATGTATTTAACTTGTCAGCAATGAAATTCAGTTGGAATAAACGCTGCAGGAAGTTAAGATGCCACTGTTATGTTTACAGTTAATGTACTTTTAATTTTCTTTTACTTGCAAAACCCTAATCATGATATCATGCTATCCAACCAATCTTCCAGTTCTTCTTCAGGGTCAAGCTTCTTAGCCGTTTCTGTTAGTTGTGAATTTGTATTGTCTACCACTTCAGTACCTGAAGAGTCTGTATAACAGCAAAGAAATAGTGATTTATTGCACCAATAAGTCCCCACGTAAAATACAAACTGGCTTCTCTGGTAATACACAGGTGAACCAACCTCCAAGCTAAGACAAATGTGTAGCATAAGTACATTCTAGCAGTAACAAGACAGTTGTAAAGTGGTAATATTGTGCATAAAACTAGGTGCTGTTTCTTCAATTTTAAATGTAGCCTCTTTTATGTCAGGAGCAATTAATTCTAACTTTGTAAAGTGTAACCGTGACTGCACTTACTCCTTGTTATCTGCTGATTCGTGAGGATGGCCCTAGACCCCAGTTTTTAATTTTGCTCCCACGATCATTATATTGTTACTGGCGGAAAGTCTGTGTTCATATCGCCCTTGGATAATATGAAATTGCTATATTTATTTACAGTAATTATATATTTAGTTAATGCAATTTAATTTGATGAGTGCTATAGAAAACATGCCAAATTAGATATAAACATGCTATTTAAGTAAAAGGTCAATATCAATTATTTCCATCATTTTAATAAAAAAAAGCTTTTACTTACCGGCTGAAGTTGTAACTGTTTCAGCATCACAAAGAACTTCTGAATTTTGAGCTATATTCAGGAAATCACCCTCACTTTTACTGGCAGGTGTTCCTAATTGAAGTAAAATATCCAGCTCCTCGTCTAGCTTATCTGGTGCTTGCTGAGATGCAGAAGGGGCACTCTTAGGTACTTGTATTGCAGAGTTAAGTGTGACATTGAAGGTATGTTTGCCTGGATCTTCAGCCACTGCATTTAGTGGCATGGTATTAACAACTCCCAAGGGAGTTGCTGCTTGTGCTCTAAATTTACTTGGGCCATCATGCAAATCCTTCAGTCTCACTTGTGGTAGCTCAGCAGGTAGAGTGATCTAAATTTGAAGGACACAACAGAAGTAAGAGGCTGAATTTGCCAATGTGACTAAACAATTTATTGTTTAAGGAATTTTGACATGAAAATGTAAAAAAAAATTAATTTGGTGTTTGATGACAACAACATCTCACGCTTTTAACTATTTTTACTTTATATACACACACACATATTTCTTTCTTCAATAGAGAACATACTTAAAATTTTAGCAGCACCCAGAAATACAAGAGTTACTTGGGCCAGATGGGTGATGTGGAGGCTGTTATACGATCTTCCACTTTTCCTTACGTAATGGATAGTATTGGAAATGTTTACAACCTTGTTCAAGAATAAACATAATTATACGCATTGCACATGGGGGCGACTTTGAGATAACAATATGCGTGAGTAAAAACCCACACAGATCTGTTAAAGGCAAATCACCTTCATTGATTTTACTGATAAAATAGAGGGATTTCATGAAGACGATATGACAGAAAGAGAAAGACTCAGGAAATGTACATATATCTCTTGAATTTGCCATGACAAGTAGAAGAGGTTCATGAGATCCTTAACTTTTTGAATAGATGCTTAGAATATAAGAGCAAGAAGTTCATGCTATATTTTTATAAGGGACTGTCCAAGTTCAAACTGGAGTCATATGGCCAATTCTGCACATACTTCGGAGAGGATACAAATGAGATTTACTAGAATCATACCAATGAAGTAGGACTTTGGTTACGTGGGAAAACTAGAAAGGCTGGAGCAGTCTCCTTAGAACAGACAACAGGGACAGAACTGTTCAGAGTAATAACGTTCGAGTAAACAGATAAAACAATTTGTAATCAGAGAAGGATGAGAAACCAGTGAACGCAGATTTAAAATAATTTATGAAAGAACCAGAGGTGACAGAAGGGGGGAAAAGAAACAATAAAATGTGAAAGTGACGACTCTGTTTCTTCCACTCTAGATCATCATAAGGAAACTGAATAAAGGAAATATTTGTCTGGTTACGGGGAAAGAACAGAGGAAGTATAATTAATTTAGTAGTGCCTTCTGTGCAGGAACATTTGGTAATTCTCCAATTATCTAATTCCAATTCATTACATATTCTGTCATAAACTGAAAGGTACAAACCATTCAACCTTACAGTACCTGATAAACAGAAAGAGGTCATGATCTTTATAAGCCAAATGGATATTCATAATAATTGAGCAGTGTGTTGTAAAGCTCCATAAAACCGACTAGGCAATTAAATACAACATGCTCCTCGAAACCCAAAAAGCAATGGAATGTAAGTTATATCGATCATACAGTTCAGTTGCTGATTTCAGTTTCATTGCTTGTGGGAGGGAATTCTGAGGAGAACATTTATTACCGCTCTTAAACATCTCCTAGCAACTGACTTAAATATTTGAAATTTGGCTACAAACAAAATTCTCAATCAACTCTTCTATTCTGTAGATGGATTTAATAAAGGAATCCTACCTGCACCAACTCAGCTTCCACATTCAGTCTAAGGTAGAGGGGGAGTTCTTGAAGGGATTGAGCCAGAGATTGGCAGTCAACAAACAAAGGTGATAGCTGAAAAGCACAACAGGACATTGGTACATAAGTAATTAAGCAGGGAGAATATATGCATTACAATATTTCCAATGGATTGTCTGACTAGAAATTAAATTTATCTCTATGAAGAGAGCAGTACAACATAGTATATTTAAAAAGGATAATGCTTGAATTATTGTACTAAAACACAGTCCAGGGTTTTTTCTGTCAGAACTACTATGGAGCCATTTAAAAATGTCAGGGGTGACGCCCCTGGATTTACAGCCTGCATTCCCAACACCTGCAATTGTCACTGACACAACATAAGGATATTAGTAGCGAATTTGTACACTGCATGTTCGGTATCAGACCAGACTCTCTTATGACTAATGCAGCAATTTAAGAATCTGTTGAAAGCTAAATTCAAAAGGTCTTACTCATGCCAACTGCATGCCCCTCCATTCTAACTCACAGCACAATGCTGCCCCCATGCTCTCTATGCCAACTGATGATCCCTTTACACCCACTGTCCAATTCATGCCTCTTCCCTTCTTTGTGAGCGTATACACACATTTAAAAAAAAATCTTGGTGTTCCTACAGATAGGCAGTTAAAGTATCAAGAACAAAGGCTCTAAACATTTCATATTTCTTAATCTTATCCAAATAAAAAGTGACAAAAGAGATCAGTAAATACAACTTACTACAACCACTTAAAGATGCCAATTAAGCCAAATCAACAATTTACTTTGGTGTTCAAATTGGAGCCCCTTGACGAGCTCATGCTTTTGTTGGTCTGGACTCTTCAGCCAAGCCTTCATCATAAAAAGCCGTGAAAAATTACTCAAAACTAAGAGAGGTTGGCACTTAAAATTGCAATGACTATATAAAATACAGATAATTGATCTTTGAATTCCAATGGCCAACGCAGACTGCAATATAGAAGAACCAAAGCATTGACCTGATCTAAATAGCTGGACAAGTTCCATGAAACTGACTGTATTACAGTCTGAATACAGTCTGAGTTAAAGTTAACACTTTTGCCAAGGACAATGAAATCAGTCAGGCTTCATGGAACATATGAAAAGTCCTCATATCTCATAAACACTATTATGAGAATCTTCAATATTGGAGATGGAATATTAGCTGCAACTATCAAGCCTGGTCACAATTACCTCAGCAGACTTAGAAAATATAACGAATTTAAATCTTAAGGAGCTCTTTGGGGAAACAGATTTAAGAATGTAATACTGAACATAGGCGAAACAAGGATACAGGCTTCTCAAGAAAAGAGCACCTAATTGGACTGTACTGACTGAAAAGTAGCATTAGGAATGAAGAACTTAAAAGTACACCAAAATAAGCACTACTGCTGTTGAGCTCCAAAATAAAACAAAACTAATCAGTTGTGGTCTCAGGATCAAACAGCCAAAGAACACAAAACTGTCTACTATTTTCCCTCCTTTTCTATGGGACATTATCCTCTCTTATCTTCTACATGTGTGAGGGCTCACAAGACTGCACAAAGGTCATGTGTTGAATGTCGCATCTTTATTATTTATCTCAGGGTTAGCAGCTGAGGAATTTTTTTTCACTCAAGAAAACCTAATTGCTTACAGTAGAAAGACATCTACCTTCCAATTTTAATGGCGAAAAGCATGGACTTGTGCTAAAAGCAAGTTGTCTCAACTGGTTAGAACAAAATAATATGTTCCTGAAAAAGATTCTATGGATGAATACAGCATGTGATTTGGCACTAAGCTGTTCAACTCAGGAAGTACCTGCAATATATAGTTTGTTTGCTTTCAGCCAAAACAGTATTCAGGACCATATAACTGAACCCACCAAAGAGCAAAATATGAGCATGAAACCCAACTCCTGAAGATTAAATGAATCTCACTGGAAATGCACACACAGATGTCAACTAACAGTGAGTTTTGAACCCAGAGTTGTCCAATTCAAAATATGGTTTTGGTACAAAGCCTTTTTGCTGGCTCTGGAACCATATCCCAGCATAGGTTATTAACCTTCACAAAAAGCCAGACAAACTGAGCTGGAAGTTAACGGAATGGTAAATAACACTTTCCTGTTCTCAACTTGCCTTAAAGTTGGTCAGTTCGAGTAAAGTTTGACATTTTGTGACTCTCAGTAACCATATTTATTTCTATTTTCAGTAGTACAGGTTGCTGCAAATCAGCATACGATATGTAGTAAAAACTTTTAAAGCCACATATAAATAAGAGGAATAAGAACATAAGAACTAGGAGCAGGAGTAGGCCATCCGGCCCCTCGAGCCTGCCCCGCCATTTAATAAGATCATGGCTGATCTTTTTGAGACTCAGCTCCACTTACCTGCCCACTCACCATAACCCTTAATTCCTTTACTGTTCAAAAATTTATCTAGCCTTGCCTTAAAAACATTCAGTGAGGTAGCTTCAACCGCTTCACTCGGCAGGGAATTCGTCAGATTCACAACCCTTTGGGTGAAGAAGTTCCTCTGACCTCAGTTCAACATCTGCTTCCCTTTGTTTTGAGGCAATGCCCTCTAGTCCTAGTTTCACCTGCTAGTGGAAACAACCTCCCTGCCTCCACCTTATCTATTCCCTTCATAATCTTATATGTTTCTATAAGATCTCCCCTCATTCTTCTGAATTCCAATGAGTATAATCCCAGTCTACTCAGTCTCCCCTCATAATCCAACCCTCTCAACTCTGGAATCAACCGAGTGAATCTCCTCTGCACTCCCTCCAGTGCTGGTATATCTCTTCTCAAGTAAGGAGACCAAAACTGCACACAGTACTCCAGGTGTGGCCTCACCAGGACCCTATACAGCTGCAACATAACCTCCCTGTTTTTAAACTCCATTCCTCTAGCAATGGCAGACAAAATTCCATTTACCTTTTTAATTACCTGCTGCACATGCAATCCCACCTTCAGCGATTCATGCACAAGGACACCCAAGTCCCTCTGCACAGCAGTGTGCTGCAATTTTTTACCATTTAAAACATAGTCCATTTTGCTGTTATTCTGACCAAAATGGATGACCTCACACTTATCAACATTGTACTCCATCTGCCAGACCTTTGCACACTCACTTAGACTATCTATATCCCTCTGCAGACTTTCAGTGTCTTCTGCACACTTTGCTCTCCTTAGTGTCATCTGCAAATTTTGACACACCACACTTAGTCCCCAACTCCAAATCATCTATGTAAATTGTAAACAATTTAGGTCCCAACACCGATCCCTGAGGTACACCACTAGCCACTGACCGCCAACCAGAAAAACACCCATTTACCCCTACTCTTTGCTTTCTACTGGTCAACCAATCCTCTATCCATGCCAATGCATTACCTTTAATACTGTGCAACTTTATCTTACGTAGCAGCCTTTGGTGTGGCACCTTGTCAAATGCCTTCTGGAAATCCAGATACACCACATCTACAGGTTCCCCATTGTCCACCATGCAAGTAATGTCCTCAAAGAATTCCACCAAGTTAGTTAAACATGACCTACCCTTCATGAACCTATACTGGGTGTTCCCAATGGGACAATTTATATCCAGATGTCTTGCAAATTCTTCCTTAATGATAGATTCAAGCATTTTCCCCACTACCGAAGTTAAGCTAACTGGCCTATAGTTACCTGCTTTTTGTCTACTTCCATTTTTAAACAGTGGCGTCACATTGGCTGTTTTCCAATCTGCGGGAACCACCCCAGAGTCCAGTGAATTTTGGTAAATAATTACTCGTGCATTTGCTATTTCCCCCATCACCTCTTTTAGTACCCTGGGATGCATTTCATCAGGGCCAGGAGACTTGTCTACCTTTAGCCCCTCTTGTGGCCTCTTTCTGTGTCATGATGACTCTACCGCTCAAAAAGTTTCATTATGTAAGCTCAACTATAGCATTTACACAATACAGTAGGCTACACAGGGAAGTACCAACATCTGAATTCCTTAATAGTTACTCAAGCTTTCAAGACTTGAGCACAAGTCTGCAGCACACATATATATTTCCACAACTCTCTGCATAGGCACCCATTTGTCAAATTATATTTTTTAATACCCTATATAAAAGTTTTGCAAACATCTGCATCCTATACATCATTAACAGAAAAGTTGAACGTCAGTGCCATAGCTTACCTGAATAGCTGACATTCTTAAAAGAAGTCCAGTGACTATCTTTCAATTAAAGAATGCATTCACAAAATATTAATGTTTCAGATTAGCAGCATAATTTTTATCTTACTGCTTTTATAGTTACCTTTATTGCTAAAGGGAGCAGGTTGCATCTCTAACTGTTTGTCACCAAGGTTTGACAGGAAATTGTCTCCTTTTCTTGATTTGTTACTCTCCAAATTCTACAACCAAAGAAAAGCCAAGCAATCGAACAAAAATACCACAAGAAACCTTTGGGCCTATAAGTGCGTGACACCTGAATTGAGATATGATCCTAATACATTGTTTGCTTAATGAAATTTGTGGTAGGACTGTGCTATCTCAGACAACAGCCTCATGAGGACACAATTGTGAACAGTGGGCACCATCTGTGGCCCACGAGACTGCACATAAGGTGCTAGCAAGGTTAGCTGGTTCAGACATATGCTAAAGGGTGCCAGAAAAGCGCATGAAGGCAGGCAATCGGGAGACTGGGTTAGGAGGAGGCCTGCAGCAGTTCATAGTTTTAATATGGATCTCCAGAATAAGGTTGGAAAAAAATATTAAGCCTCCAGTGTACCTTCGAAGGCAGGGCTTCCCAAAATTTTAAACTAGTGGGCTCCGATGCAGCAATGGCTGGAAGAGAGCTCAAACTAACTGCTAACAGATGCAAAGTCCCTTTAAATATCACAGCAATTTTTTTAAAAACTGGATGTGGCCAAACCAACTGATCTTGTTGGCCTGAATTGAGTTTGACAAAACCTAACACGAAGGTTGTGGGCAGGGACTGGACCAGTGGAAAAAAGACCAAGTCGAGGTAGGGAGAGATGAGCTCTGTGGGGACAGGAAGGTAAATGGTTTTTGCTTAAAAGGTGCACAGAT